CCCCAAAACCCCAAAACCCCAAAACCCCATAAGATTGTAGCTTTTAATATTTTGAAATAACAGTATTTTGTTAATCTAAATTATTGTTAATAAAGCCATTTTCCATCTAAGGCTGAAAATACTTTAAGCCTATTTCAATTGGAAATTAAGACTTTTTAATAATCAGAAATCAATATACTTGAGATCATCAGCAGCATTATTATCCAAAAGCCATTATCCGGGAATAAAATTCAATATAAACTTAATCGCAATCAAGTTTTTAAATAGGTAGTCTACTCCATTGTAACTCAGCAACACCATAGCTATGAAGACTATGGTCACAAATATTGCAAATATAATGATATAGTTAGTTTGCTGAGTTATGAAATAATCTTTGATGCTGGACTCAACCAGACTGAGCAGATCAAGGTCTACATGATTCAGGTACTAAATACGAACATATATAACTGAAAATAGCTAAGATTCCTTTTCAAACTTCAAGGTTTAATTTGCTCTAAAAGATAAGGTACCTTGCAAGATATTCTGCAGGATTGTATTGACTGTCTAAGTAAGACCTAGTTAAAGTATTTTGCTAGATACATTCTTGCATTGCTCAATCTGGTTATCTTTATTACCATAGGTTTTCACCATTTCATCTGTTACTAAATAGTCACACATTTACTATGACTCCAAGCCGCTAATCAAGGAACTTGCACCTGCTATAATGTTAGGCATGCTTCTTCTGAGGGTGTTATATTCATTTTCATTTTCTTATGTCATTTAATAGTAGTAATCAATTGAATTTTGCATTGCTTACGATTAGTTATATGGCTCATTGTAAATTTCTCTGCCCCTAGATAGAGTTTGCAAATAGAAACTAATGAGTGAATCTAAATATGGTCCTCTGTTACCCACTATGTCAAATATGCTTAAACTTTTTTGGCTATCACTAAAGATGTTAGTAACCATAAAGTAACTAAGAGTAAAATATCCACTCATAAATAGGCATATGCTCATGACTAGTAGGTAGTACTTTACTTGTTTCATACAAGTCATTTGCTTAATCTTATTTTAGAATATTCTTTTGAACAATGCATTTTCCTACTCCTCTTTGCTCATGAGCATTTGAGCCTTTTTGTCTTCCTCGGCGTTTTCACTCAAATCTGAGTCATCTTCATCATGATTTTCTTGCTGATTGTTCTTTTAGTGATTAATTACATCTTCTTCATCTGCTGACTTATCAATCTCTGATTCATCTTCTTGAGACTACTTAGCCCCTTTATGACCTCCTCCTTCTGGCTTTTTCATGGTATTTTTAACTCGATTCCCTAATTTAATTACACCTTTCTTTTTGCCCTTCTGTTTATGGCTGTTATTAGATTTATTATCTTTCTGGTTATTCTTATTATTTGATGGACCCTCACTTCTGTTGAACAAAAGAGGAAAATGAGACTTTACATTTTTAGTCTCTCCAATTTGTTAATTATTAGGAGTGCCTCCATCGTTCAAATCCTATTCTTGCTCATTTTCACCTATAGGAGCAGCCCTTCTTAGCAAGAAGCCGAAGTCAGAATTAGGATCATCTTATTTTCTACCAGACATTGTGGTGAATTTTCTTGTAACCAACTTTCCAGAGAACTACTTAGAAGAGTTTTGATATAATAAACTTCCTCCAAGAGAGTTTGTACTTTGCTAAAGTTTCATAAAGAACACTTTGATATTTCGGTTTAGAGACTCTATTTACTCCTTTTTAAGTTCTGTGTATATCATAAGTACCTTCTCCTTTGATCTTTCAATCTTATGAAGTATTGGAATTATCACAAAAGCTGTAAGGAATGTGATAGTTATGGAGACTATTGTCAGTATTAATACAAGTGATGAATTGTTGTTGGCTTCAAAAACTGCATCGCTAATATATTTCTCAGACATAATGAATAGATAATTCGACATAGAACCATGTGAGTTCTTAAGGACTTGATAAACATCAATGCTTACATCGGATACAGGCGGTCCTTTATATAATGAAGAGTTAGTATTATCATAGTTTAGAATATTTGCATCGAATGTAAAATTTGGAGAAACATAAGATGCCAAGGTATCAGCAGATTCTAGCAACTCCTAAACGCCCTGCATCATTGCTATTGACTTTTTATCAATTACTGTTTTTGACCTAATTTCTAGATAGTTATTGGTTATACTTTTCTTGTAATTAATAGTTTCATCAGAGTAGGTAAATTCTACAAAATTCATGTAAGATTGCGATATTCTCAAAGATTCAATCTGGGTATCTATTTTATCAAGCAAGTAAGGCTGTAAATCCTTAAGTACAGGGTCTGTTTTATAAGAGTATACACTATTAGCATAAAAGGATAAAGTGCTCATCATGGTTCTTAGTTGAGAGAAATATATAACAGATTCCTTGGATCTTTTAATAATATCCATATTCTCAAAGAAACCTTGATTCCTATCAAGACTGACAATTAGCAGAAGCATAGCTATTCCAATCACAGCTAAGAAAACTACAACTATTGCTTTCTAGAGTAGATCAATTTATCGTGGTTTGGAATCATCTATGGTTTAGGTTTTTATTTCAGAAAGTTTATTTAGAATATTCTTTCTATTCTTATCATAATTAGCGAGTGAAGAAACAGAGGCAATAGAACAAATCTCCTCTCTATCATCAGTGTAAGTTACATTGACTTTAGGCCCATCATCTCCCATAGCCGTCATATATTCAGTAGTATTCTTTGTATCTAAGAAACTCGCATCGTCGTCTGTCAGTACAAACCAAATCTCTTTGTAAGCTAGCTTAACATCTTGATAGTCATATTCAAAAGTCTTTAGCCAGACTATTGCAGTACATTTTTTCTCACTCATGTTATAGTTAGTCCCACCATCACTTTCATTATCTTTAATATCTATGTCCTCTTCCTCTAGGATCCTTTTCACTAACTATGGATCAAACTCAAGCCTTTTACCAGCCATAAAAGCTGGTTCTGATTCATCTTCAAAAATATTTTTGAACATTGTCTCTACATGAATGTCTTTTAATAAAGCCTGAATGGGAAAATTTAAATACTCCTGCATATTTTGAGTCATATCCTAAATTACTCCCAATTAATTAGTTTGCAAAACGAATACATCTTGATACTCAAGTAATTCTCTCATAGGTTTGAATTCAAGCAAAACACTCCTCTTCAGGAAGGCAATAAAGCAAAAGTTGAACTCAAAATTCACATAGGCATTGATATCCATGATAAGAGGGACAATGAAGCCAGACTTATGTTTGCCCCAGACGAAGTTGTGATTCTCTTTATTGATCTTTCTGTTTCCATTGACAAAGTTCAGAATAAAAGCCTCATGATTTTCAGCAAACAAAGCAGGCATCAATCTATTGAGTCTCATGCTAATTAATTCATTTGTAAGATAGCCGAATATTCTCTCGGCCTTGTTGTTCATAGCTAATATTTTTGCAAAGTTGTTAGTGTTGCCTGAGATAATGATCATGCCGTTTTCATCCAGGAGCTAAATGCTTTTATACTCAGCCTTGAGATTATGTTTTTTCATTGACTTGGACTACATGATTTTTACTATTTCAAGTTTAGCATCCTCTACTTCTATTTCAAAGTTTAGAATCAAGCTCACGAAAAGTTTGTATAGATAAGCAACCTCTAGATAGTTATTGTTCATCTGCATGAGATTCTTGTACTTCTTCTTGATATCTATAAAACTCTTGTATATCTTTGCCCCAAGATCAAATATCTTTCTAACATCAATGTTTTTCTTTAGAATTTCCTCCCAAAATTCTCTAGTTTATATACTAGCGACTTCAATCATTTTCTAGAATTTGATATTGATCTTTTCGAATTCTATTACAGACTTAATTTCTGTCTCTACATCGAAATTAGAAGCATTAAATTCCAGCTACTTTTTCTATTTTTTATCATCTTTTGATTTTTCAAACTAAACTGGCTAGTTGCTCATTCCTTGTGAAGCTCGAGACTAGAAGTAAGCAATTATTTAACTTGAAAGGACGAAGCATTCATATTGATCTTACAGAGATGATTTTATGGACTTAGTAAAGCTAAGTTCATACAGACCCTTGAATGAATTTTTGAAAATTGAGAAGTAGATGAATGCAGCCATAATATGAAGTTTTACAGAGTTGGGAAATGCATCCAAAAATACATTGATATTATCTATCAAGAATTTCTTAAGGAACTTGCCCTTGCTCTTATTTTGCTTTTTCTGGCTTTTCTTGCTTCCATAGAATACCTTTAGGGTTGAGAGATCATCGACATCAGACTCTGCTCTCTGAGAATAAGAGTGGTTTGTTGTCTGGTTATTAGTATTCTAGTTCATAGTACTAGAATCGTAGTTCTTTGAGAACGGAGACATCTAAGCTAACTCCAATCTATAGGTCTAATTGCAGATCTAATAGAACTTTATACATGAGCATGAAGGATACTCACATATCTCGATATGTCTTTCAATAAACCCTCTTAAAATGAAGTCTTGTTTGTCATCATAAGCTGATCTCTCAATAAGCTCATGCAAAGTAAACATCATAATCAAAGCTTCAAAGTCCTTATCATATAAGGCAAAATCAACCTTACTCAAAAAATTATATCTTATTCTATCTCTGAGTATCACGCAAGTACTAGCAAAAGCAACACAGGAAATAATCAATACCAAATGCAAGATGAAATTTCTATCAATTGTCACAAAATCTCTTAAAGCTGAAAAGCCAAATAAGACGAACATTACTGCCTCACCGCAAATTGTGATAAAATATACCGTAGTATGAAATATTAATACATTCAAAAGCCTTTTATATAGGATTCCTAACCATGTAAATGCAAAAATAATATTTAAATAACTGAGAGCATTTTGGCACAAATTTTTCTCCTGATAACTAAATACAATGAGAAATTTCAAAAGCTCAATTATAATTGGAATCTTAGTTGGCAAGCATGCCCAAGGTATTTTCTCATGTGGATAAGACAAAGTCAAAAAATACTAGAAATACATCACAAGCATATAATAAAATATCATCATAACTGTGGCAAATATCACTTAATTCATATGGCTTTCTTTATAGCAAAAGCCTGTTTCATAGTAATAGTTATCCTCAATCGACTAGGCGTGATCATCACAAGAGTATATTTTAAACATAAACGTCAGCAACGGTACTTACAATGTCTTAGTAAGTGTAACTATCAGAAAGGCAAAAATCTTGGTTATTACCTTCCTCTGACTGGATAGATTAATCGTGCCTAGCTCTCTCGTGAAAATCATGGCTAGAAACAAGATAAAGATCACATTGAGAAAATGGCAAACAAGCTATTGAGCACTGATGAAATCCTTAAATTTAGTTTAGTCCAAAAAGTAATCAATTCCCATGAATTTAACCAAGTTGGGCACCCAGGTATCTGTGTACTCGCCATCAAAAGTTTTCTTGTAAAGATCCACTGATTTTGTTGCTAAGATATATGTTGCTGTTCCTGGTTAACCACTAATATTAATTACATCTACTTTTTAGATTATCTAGTCTTGATACATTTGGTTGAGAGGATAGTATGCAATGAACACAAAATCTAGAATGAGGAACATGCTGTAAATAACGAAGTTGTAGAACGTGTTAAGATCTATCAAGTCAAACGAGAGTAGAAATAGTTTGTCTCTGAAGTGAACCTCGCAGGACCAATGTTGCTTTCCTTCTCAATTGTTTCCTGATATATTATTGAGGTCGTAACGACCTTAGCTTTCTTGAGATTGGTATGAATTAAACATCTTTTATTATTTATTATATTTGAGATCTATCTCAATTAGTTCACTATATTTATCATTGATTAAAATTTTCACCCTCTGATGGTCATCATTTACTCTCGAGGGGTTTTGGGGTTTTGGGGTTTTGGGG